AACTCCTAACTCTTAAACTTATATTATTTAATTTGTTAGTTAAATAAAATATTTTTCCGACATAAAGATAACATTTTATGTTTGGTTACTCATATTTGTTTGTGTAATTAGAAAACAAGGTGTACGTAGAATGATTACTTCAATTTCATATAGGAATCGATACCACTAGAGATGTATGTTGTCTTTAACCAGTGGTAGGAGATCCACATATCATTTTTAATTATTTATATTAATGCTTAGTAATATTTATTTTATATTTCTATTCACCTTAATTTTTTAGGTACAAATTAAGGAAGATCGGTACACCAACATAAAGTCAAACGTACGCCTTGCAAACTATGTAACTAAAATTAAATATAAAATTACTAATCGACTTATTTTAAAACTCTTGATGAAATTTATGTATAATGATATATTTTGCACGCCTTCATTTTTAATTTCAATGTTTAATATTTGAAAGTTCATATATGAAACCTTTGATCTTTTGGTGTAATATAAATAATGTAATACGAAGTTTATTAGTTCAGTATTGTTTATTAAAAGCTCATTCAAAACAATTTATTTATTATTTTATCCAAAAATATTATCGCACATAAGAAAAGTAGATCATATTAATGTTATACAAAAACTTATAATATATATTGGATATTATAAAAGTAAAAGTAATGTTTATAAGGTATGAACTATATTAGATAGTATCAAAATATAACTTGATGGATTTTTATGTTATTTGATAATTCGGATAATATCCAAAACATGACTAAAAACGTAAATTTCAACATATTTCTATTTTTTTTGCATAATTATTTTAACCACATTAATGCATTCTTGCGCAACGCGCGAGGTTATGCCTAGTATATAATAACTAAAGAGGAAATAACAATTCACTTAAACATGATAGATGTCGAACAAAGTTTTATCTCGTTTTAGTTATCCATACGCAAAATTTCTTTTTCACATAGTTATTTTATTTTAATTAGATAAAATTTTGGTTTTTGATCAACACCAATGTTTTAAAAACCGGTTTGAACCGGCCGGTCGAATCGGTTGGACTTGGAACCGGGGGAGAAAGTGGTTCAACTATCAATGGTTTTATGTCGATTTCTGAACCGGATTGAACCGGTTGGATTTTAGGAAAACCTGGTTAAATCGGTTAAAATAAACCGGTTAAACCGAATAAAAACACATAGAAAACAATTATTTGCATAATAAACTTTCTAGATTTTTTTCAAATCTATTTAATTTTCTCTAAATAAAAACATATGGTAAACGTTATAATGTTTTTTGATGTGTTTGTATTCATCTAAAACAATATTTTGTTTCGGTATTGCATTTATTTTCTTTTTGATGTATATGGATTGATGTAAAACACTAAAGCTTATGGTTATGTGTTATTTTAATATATTAGATTGATCTACAACTTATTTTTATGTATATTTTTAATGTTTGAACTACTGAACGTCAAATTCATGATTTATATATGTATGCATGTGTAGAAAATTAGGAAAAAATATGAAAATTATAGAAAGCGGTTGACCTGACGGTCGAACTGGTTAAACCGATTAAACCGGGAACCGATCACCATTCCGATTCAACTAAAAACCCGGTTTTTAAAACATTGATCAACACCGGCTCAAAATTTTTATGAAATGTCCTTTTATTGGTAGTCGACATCTTCATTTCTTTGTGTCTATCTCTAGCATCCATAAATAAACATTAATTATACATTGTTTTATTAAAATTTAAAATGATTTCAATAAAACATATACTTATATACTCCATTTATGTTTTGTCCAAGCCCGATCGAGGGTATACATTTAATCAACAGTTTTATTTATTACATTCTTAAACTTACGCTAAAATAAATTAAATAAAAATAATTTCACCCTAAAGCTCACCAATGTTAAATGTATCCTAATCATTCATATTGAACAATTAAGTAAATTTAGAAAAAGACTTTTATTAAAGACAAATTCTTTTTATAGTACAGATGCTCTTGAATTTGAATTAATTAAATTTTAGTAGCATGTTTATCTCTAAATGACACAACTCACAAGAAGGACAAATAAAACGCCTAATAAGTTTGAACTTTCAATATGCTATCAAGTATCAACCATTTTATGTTATTTTACTTTTGAAAGAAATATTTAATTGTAGGATTTTGGACAAAAATTAATGGTCCACACTTAGTTATTTACCATGATTTTCTTAATCAAACTAATATAATAATTAGTCTAACAAAAAATATTAAATAGAACTAATTTTTTAATGGTGGTGTACCAACTCCACAACCCCCAGATCCCCCACCCCATAAATTAAATCAAAAGAGTGCAATGCTAACTTATCTTTTTAATAAATTAACTTTTTTTTTGGTCTACATGTGGTGTGTGCATCCCAAATGCATATAATTTGTAGTGGTAGCGGTGTTAAGGATTTGTTGAAACCAAATAAATTTGTTGAATCAAATACTTATTCATTTATTAGGGAGAACCGAATCGTTTACTTTTAGAAATGATGTACCACTGGTACCTTCAAGATGAGATTCCTTCAAGCACGGATTGAAGTGGGTCGACTAAAATGGGGTGATTTGCGGTTTTATCTATGTTGCTCAAACAATTTTATCTTTGTGCATTGATTATTTGTACTTCTTTCTTTAAGATTTGTATCAAAATAATTTTGTACGTTTTTATATTAGTTTGTATATTTTTAATATTTGTAAATTAGTTTTGTATAATTTTGATTAGTTTATGTTTATTTTAAAATTAAAAGTGAGTGTACTGAGTGGGTTAGAAAAGATAGAGTTTTTATGTGTTGTGGGTTGAAAATTTTGAAAAAAATAAAAGAGAGAAAAACTTACGTGAAACTAATTGAGAGAGAATGATTCTCCCTCCCTTATGTTATTGGTTATAGCTTTTATGGTGTTGTTTATCGTTCTATTTTAGTTAGGTTGGTTTGGTATCCTGATGTGTTGGTGCTTACATGGGTAGGAAATAAAATATAGATTTTTCATAGATTGTGAAAGATCACCTTTTGTATTGCTAGTTCTCCTTATGTCTAGTCTAGATTATGAATTTTGTGTAATCACAATTTGTATTGATAATTCTCTCTTATTTTTGGATTATCAATAAATTCATCTTGGGATAATCCATGATAAACAATCAAAGTTCTAGACACACACAAAATAAGGATATTTTTTTATGGATAGTTTAATGCTTGTTAGTAGAAGTGTTCATTTGGATGGATCAATTTAATCCGATCCGATCATGTGAATCCAAATTAATTTCGGTTTTCAAAACGTAGATCTATATAGTCCAAAATAAATTCAAATCTGATCCGATCCAACCAAATTATAATTCGGTTGGATCGGTTTTTTACAATTCGGTTTTCAAGAATCAAGACATTTCAACAAATATATAACTTTAGTATTAACTTATTCTATAGTATAAACTAAAAAAATATTGTTTATTTAGTTGTGAACTAAAACTTATAAATAACTATCAAGAAAAATATATTATAGTTTACTACTTTATAAACAATTTTTTTTATAAGAAGTACATATTATAATATTATAATAGATGAAAATTTTTAATATATTAAAAGAATAATTTAGTAAGTTTATAATTTATTAAAGATATATATTAAAAAGAACAAAATAATAAATTGTAATTCGGTTTTTTTGGACTATTCGGTTTTTATTTTATAAACTAAAACCAATCCGAAATCCAAAATAATAATTCGGTTTTGCTAAAAACCAATCCAAAAATCCGAATATCCGAACCAAATAGTCCAATCCAAATTGTCCAATTGGACAATTCGGTTTTATCCAAATAGTGAACAGTCCTACTTGTTAGATTTTTCTTATTTCCAAATAGGTGAAATATGAGTACATATACTCGTGTATCCGAAAACTAAATAAAGATGATGAAAATTATTGATTATGTAGTTGAAAACAGTTTCTGGAAGAGTTACTCAGACAACTATAGTTGTCACAACTATGAGATGTGTTTTAGTAGACCCAAAATTCATATATTTGTTCAACCGTCGGGGTTGCATGTGTGCTCTGCCCCTTGGACGCAACATAGGCACGTAACCCCCTTGTCCTTGAATTTTATTGCCTTCAGGATCAAACCAGATTTAGATATACAAGTTTGCAACATGGAACATGTATTTGATTAGGTTTAGATATACAAGTGTGCAATATGAAACATTAAACTTGTATTTGATAATAATTTACATACATATTTGACATTCACGTGAATTCCAATTGCAATAATTGATTTGTTGTACATCGTTGGTTTTTAATCCAGAGTCCTTTTATAAATTATTGTTTTTATAAAAAAAAGATCTATAAATTAGATCATACACATTTAGATTTTAAGTAAAATTTATATAATATCCTTACAAATATCTATATTTAGCTTATATACAAGGCTATAAACGAACCAAACATTCAATGAACCGTTCGTGAATTGTTTAGCAGGAAGTTCGTTTATGTGTGTTTATTTAATAAATGAACGAATATGAAAAAATATTCTCGTTCGTTTAGTTATACGAACGAACATGAACAATGGTCTCGTTCGTTCTTCTACTTTTGTGAACGTTCGTTTAAGTTTATTAATGTTAAATTATTATTTATTACATTATTATATTATATGTTCGTTTATGTTCATATATGTTTATTTACTTTTATTTGTTTATGTTCGTTTAATATGTTCCTGAACATAGACATACGAAGATGAATAAGATAATTTATTAAACGAATAAACATGAACAATAAAACTTATTTATTTATCTGTTCGTGTTCGTTCATTTGTTCGGTTAACTTAAACACACAAAGATAAACAAACCCTTATTTGTGTTTCTTATATAATTAAATCATTTTCTTAAAAAAAATTTTAAAAAAAAAAAAAAAAATCATATTTTAATTGGGATACAAATGAGATTACCTCGTTCTAGTTAATTAGTTACAACCGTTTAATAGAAATTTCAATAAACGGTAAAATAGGGTTTTCAGCAACACCTGTATCTCTCTCTACCTGCCTTCACTGATACTCACCCGCCTTTTCACCTTCACCGCCATTCCTATCAATCAAACCCCATGTGTCACCCACACCCCACACCCCACGCCTCTCTCTCTCTAGATCTCTCTTTTACGTCGACTGTATATATATGTCTGTATAGGTTAGCTTACAAGATTTCAACAGACAGGAACGTGACCCTAGAGTTCGTCATGTGCTACTAGCTAATTTTCTACTCTAAAATCAATACATGCCCAACTGACATCAATTCATGATTCATCACCCTGTCATGTCTTATATGGAGTGAGATTTTCCTTTGTCGCAATCGTCAACAGGAACTGAAGAATGGAGAAGAATCCCCTTTTCTCATTCTGCTTCTCCATATTCATCACTTTCAGCTTCGTAAGCTGCGCTTCACTTCTCCCTTCAGACCAAAATGATCAAATCAACTCCATCTTAGGTACTACATTTCTGTAATCGATTACTTGATGTTGATGTTTTTGTTTTATGTATACATTTAATTCGTCATGGTTACTGAATTAACGACCTTTGCCGACATTTCAAATAGCGTTTAGGTTTTGCTTTTTTCTTCAATCACCATCGATTTGATTAGGATTTCACTTACATCATTCAACCATATATTGAAAGATTAATAATACATTTGGGGACAATACGATTGATAATTGTAGGGGAAGATGGGGAAGATGGCCATTGGAGAAATGGGATCTTGAGTTCATCAGCTCAAGCTCCTTATCCTTCCAGTGGATCATCTAGTGCACTTGTATTAGCGGGTTCAAGAACAAAAAGACCTGATATTCTTAACCGATTCAGAAAGTATCGTGGTGGATGGGACATTACCAATAAGCATTACTGGGCTGTAAGTTCTCTGACTTTGTAATCAACAACTATAATCATAATCAAATAAGTTATCTTGATATTGAAATTGTCTACAGTCAGTTGGATTTACAGGGTCTGCTGCTTTGATTCTTGGTATGATATGGTTTGTGTTCTTTGGTGTCGCCATGATCACACATCACTTCTGTGGATGGAGGATTGAAATCAAAGGCAAAGAATCTAGACTTTCTCAAACGCTATGCTTGATTTTGCTCATCATCTTCACATGTGCTGCAGCGTAAGTTTGACTTTTGAACTCAGAGAAAGCATGAATAATATTTATGATTTCGTTAAATAGATCATTAAAATCTTGTTTCTTGTTCAGAACTGGATGCGTTCTTCTTTCAGTTGGGCAAGATGAGTTTCATGGTGAAGCAGTGGACACGTTGAATTATGTTGTGAACCAATCAGATTACACCGTTCAGACACTTGTAAATGTCACTGGGTATTTGTCGCTAGCTAAAACTGTCAATGTGGCACAGTTTTACCTTCCTTCAGATGTGAAAGACAGTATTGACAAACTGAATGTAGACTTGAATTCTGCTTCAGATACATTGGGTAGCAAAACACATCAAAATTCAAGAAAAATAAGAACTGTTTTCGATGCTGTGTAAGATCCAAAACTACAACATTTTGAACTTTCTTTTTAGTTCAATCAAAGTCCAAGATTCTGAAAAGATTTTTTTTTTTTTTTTTTTGCTTGTTTCAGGCGATCTTCCATGATTACTGTTGCGATTGTAATGCTTATTGTTTCCATTTTAGGCCTTTGTAAGTTTTGATAAGAAGCTCATCGGTTCACTCTGTGTATTTTGCCATAATTTTATATAAATCTTCTTGTTTTTTGTTGCAGGCTTGTCAATTCTTGGTCACAAAAACGCAATCCACTTGTAAGCTCTTCTTTCTTGTTACTTCTTCTCTGGAGGGTATGATCGTAATTTTGTTAATAAATGTTCTTCGTGCAACAGATTCATTATCGGTGGATGGTTGCTTGTTGTGGTTGCTTTCATCCTATGTGGAGTTTTCGTAATCCTCAACAAGTAAGATAATTGTTGAACTTACATGATATGTCATGTCATTGTTACATAAAAAAAAAAATTATTGAATGATATTATTTTTGAAGTGCAATTTCGGATACATGTATGGCTATGGAACAATGGGTGGATCATTCAGATGCCGAAACTGCCCTCAGCAACATCCTTCCATGCGTTGACCAAGGAACAACGAACCAAACTTTATATAAAAGCAAACAAGTGATCAGCGATCTCGGAAACATCGTCAATGGATTCATAGGTTCATATGCAAACTCATACGGCGTACTTCCGGCGAACTCCAATTACTACAACCAATCGGGCCCACTGATGCCCTACGTTTGCTCTCCATACGACTCACAGCTCCAACAACGAAACTGTTCTTCACAAGAAGTCTCAATGTCAAATGCGTCTCTGGTACGATTACGCATTACGAATTACGAATTAGAAAATTAGGGATTCGATTAGTTTCAATAATCGATTTTGAATTTTGATCTGTAGGTGTGGTGGAATTACACATGTACAGTATCGGACTCTGGAATATGCATGAGCACCGGAAGATTGACTCCTGATATGTATCAGCAATTAGTGGGGGCAGTGAACATAAGTTACGCCCTCCAACACTACACGCCGCCGCTGCTCAGCTTCCAGGACTGTAATTTTGTTCGGGAGACATTTACGACGATCACCTCCGAGCACTGTCCGGCGTTAAAGCGGCATCTGCAGATGGTGACTGCAGGTTTAGGGCTTGTATCTGTAGGGGTGATGCTGAGTCTTGCACTTTGGATAATATACGCAAACCGCCCCCAAAGGGAGGAAGTGTTTGCTAAGATTACGTCCAAAATTAAAGGCAAATGCAATGGAAAGCTTTGTCGTGGTGACGCAAGAAGTCAAATCACTGAAGTTTGATACGTGAGAACTTTAGATTTAGTAGGAATAGTGTTGATATCATCGGGGTTTTTGTTGTTGTAATCTAAATCTAATTTCGGCCAAGATGAAGTTGAGCATGATTTGGATTCGGGATATCAATAATTTCTTGACAGGGTCAAAAATGGTATTAACATCATAACATGAGGGTTTAATAAGATAATTATTCGGTTTCGTTTTGGCCCAAGTATTTCGGATTGATAAAACCTCAAGCCCGGCCCACACAATTGAAGGGTCCGATTTTTATGGGTTTTCACTTTTCAGGGGGAAAAAATGGAAGTATGAAAGAGAACAAAATGGAAGTAGACTAATATGTTTGGTTAGGTTTTCAAAGTGGAATATCTAATTATGAAAAAAATAAAACACATTGTTTTAATAGAAAAAATAATAATGTTATAATTGGTTGAGTTTTTCAAAGTAAAATGTATTTATAGGAAAAAATAAAAGTATAATGTCTTCTTAAGAAAAAAATAGAGTATAATGATATAATTGATAATCAAAATCAAACAAGTTTGAATTTAAAAGATTGGTCTTGATAAGGGAAATAAAAGTACAATGTTTTAATATGTCAGGTTTTAGAAGTATAATGATATATGTGGTTAGATTTTCAAGGTACGAGGTCCTAATAGGAAGAAAAAAATAAAAAGTAAATTGTCTTAATATGACAAAAATATAGGCAACACAAGTTTCAGAATATGTTCCCTAGTCTTGCAGCCTTGGAAGTGGATGTTTATTATTTTGCAGATAGATGGCAAGATAACGATTGGAAATGGAGTTGAAGATTAGAGATATGTTGAGGGCCACAATGGTCTCAACTCGAGGATTTGACGAATATTTTGGTTCAAATTCATCTTACTACTGATCCGGATAAATGGGTTTGGGAGTTTCACAATAATGTTATGTTCGTTTTTAGAGACATTCGGTTGGCTATTGATGATCTGGTATTTCCTTCGTCTCCTTTAAAATTAGTTTGGAATAAGTTTCTTCCTTTAAAAGTTAATATTTTCCGCTGGAGAGCCACGTTAAATAGGTTGCCTACCAAAGATAATCTCATCAATAGGGGTATTGATATTTCGTGTCTCTTGTGCCCGATTTGTCATGGCTCGAGTCAAGAGATTCTCCATGTTCTTTAGATTGTGAAGTGGCATCTGGGGTTTTTTTGAAGTTGAGTCGTTGGCGCAATGTTGACTTCGTGGGTCTCCTTTTGGCTCGTGATCTTCCTGGTTTTTTGGAATCCTTACATGTGTCGATTACTTGCAAAAATAAGTGTGTGTTCGATAGTGTTAAACCTAGACTGGATACGTTGTTTGATGATATTGTTTCATTTTCATTTACTTGGATAGCTTATATAATATGTTTCATCCTAATTGGAACAATTCGCTTAGAAGCCCTTTACTTATTCTCTGATGTAATTGTAACGTCTTTGCTTTAGCTCATTGCTAGTAGTCAGTCGTTCTAATATATATATATATATATATATATATATATATATATATATATATATATATATATATATATATATATATATATATATATACACACACACACACTATCAACATACATTGTTTAATAAGAAATAATATAAATACAATATCTTAATGGGAAAAATGAAAATACAATGCTATAGTTGGCATCAAGAACCAAACAAGTCAATATATTTTTTTTAAATATTATGTCTTAATGAAACATCCCAATTTTCAAGACAAAAAATTTTATTTTTAATTATATAACTCATAAAACAGTTTACAAAAAAAAAAAAAAAAAAAAAAAAAAAAAAATCATCGATATCATATCAATCCATAAACAATAATCACAAGTCTCAAAAATCATATCATCAATAGTAATAATGCCAGAGTACAATCTCATGGATCTCAAAATGCGGAATCATGTGTGTGCGATGCGTTGCTACCGTAACGGCTCCTTCCCCTTCGGCGAAGAGGTACCTGAAACCGTAAGCACAAAGCTTAGTGAGTTCCCCCATCATACCACATACCACATAATGCCTATTCCTCGGTATCTTTCAACCGGTAACCGGGAACTAACCTCCCCTTCGGTATCTTTCAACCGGTAACCAGGAACTATTTCACCCCTACCATTATCACATAACAATGAACATATTGCCAGGCATGCATGGGTACTATCTACCCCTTCGGTATCTTTCAACCGGTAACGAGAGACTATTTCACCCCTACCACTACTAACATATATACCACAACATCCTAGCATATAAATATAACAAATATCAACATACCATAAAACTATCACAAAGACAATCATCTTTACTACAATCTCTTAATAATGGGCCGACCTTGGTGCCTTAGACCCATTTCTACCGAAAGGTAACTCACCTCGATGTTGTAAAGTCTCTGAACTGTCCATGCTGCCGGAATCAACCACTCTCAGGTCCTACACACAACAATCTTTCTTAATTGTCATTTCCTGATCAGCTCAGGTCAAAGTCAAAGTCAAGGTCAACAACCTGGTCAAAGTCAATGCCAAGTCAAAGTTAACATCCAGTTAACTCAACTCGCCGAGTTGGCCCCACAACTCGCCGAGTCTCGGAATCATGAAAACCCAATGACTTTGGCCCTACTCGTCGAGCCTTATAAGAGCTCTCTGAGTTCTCCTTTAAACCAAGTTGGGACCTTCTACAACTGACTCGCCGAGTTCATCCTCGAATTCGTCGAGTTCATCTTCATCCAAGTTAAGGTGTTTCGTCCATGAATCGTCGAGTTCATCCTCGAACTCGTCGAGTCCATCTTGAACTCGCCGAGTTATATGATTTCCAGGTCCAGTTTCACATCTATCTTGTTGAGTCCTCTTCTAGACTTAACTAAATCGATCAAAGCAGAAAACGGTTGGGGAGCCAAACCCCGACTCATCGAGTCCCATGAATGACTCGTCGAGTCCCCCAAATTCCATGTCCATACAGTTGATTTCAATCGGGTTTAATACATCCAAAACATAGATCTAGCCTCCTAGGATCCATAATACACATAAAGTTACAAACTTGACGTTCATGCATGGGGTATTTGGCTCAAATGGCCCTAAAATGGAGTCTACAATATGCATGGGGCTCTTACGGCAATAAAGTTGGCACCTTTATGCCATAGGAATCCTCAATGGTTCCAGATATGAAGTCATACCCATTTATAACCACAAAATCCTGAATATAGGACTTATAAGGCTTAGAAAAGGTAGAAATGAACCCTAACTAAAGATTCAAAAGATAGATGGTCAAGGTTGAAGCTTTTTACCTTAAATGAACTGGAAATGAAGCAAAACCTATGGATCTACTTGCTTCTTCTAGAACCCCCAAGCTTTTACTTCCTTCTCCAAGCTTAAAACAACCAAAAACACACAAAAATGGCTCAAGAACACTCCAAATGCTTTAGGGTTTTGAGTTAGGGCTTTTCTGGACTGGTATGTGTAACACCCAAAGTTTTAAAAGCCAAGAAAGGAATGAAATCCCAAATTTTAAGGGTCGACTCGGCGAGTCCAAGGAGTGACTCGGCGAGTCCGAGCGGGATCCGGGTCAAGGTGTAAGTGGCCAACTCGGCGAGTCTACCAAGTGGACTCGGCGAGTCTGGTCTGTGCGAGGAAAACCCTAAATCCAGAACTTTGAGCGCTATTTAAGCTTCTTATTCTCTCCATCAGGGTTCCTTAGAGCCTCCCTTGTTCAAAAAACGAAGCCTAAGCCTCCATTGTTGTGCATTCAAGCTTCCAAACCATTTTTGGGTGATTTGAAGGAAGAAGAAGGAGGGGAAAGCAGTGAAGCTTCAAGGATTTGCTTCAGATCTAGAGTTTGTGGAACCTTTCTGAAGTATTGAAGGTATTAAGTCATTTCCTTCCCTTAGATCTTTTTTGGTTGTGAGTTTTGGGCTTTTTAAGCCATGATTAGCCACCCTTATGGCTTAGAAGCCGGATCTGGAGTTGCTACTTCAGATCCAAGTGTGTTATGGTCTGGAGAAGCATAAAGTATCAGCCATTAAGTCGATTTTGAAGCCCCATGGCCTTAAACCCTAGTTTATGACATATTTTGCCTAGATCTCCTTCTCTACACGTAAAGTTTGCAACTTTACGTGTGGAATAGGCTTGGGAAGGGTAGATCTACAGTTTGGAGTCCACGCATGACTCAAAAGTCCTCTGCATGTAAGGAGAACTGAAGGGACTCGGCGAGTCCTTTAAGTAGACTCGGCGAGTAGCATGAAGTTGTGGAGAAACTCGACGAGTGGGATGAACAAATCGTCAAGTCATATGAAGATTGCTTTGTACTCGGCGAGTCTTTTCTTGGACTCGGCGAGTCAGGTCGCAAAACCCCAAACCCTTCGAGTTGAGACTCGAATCAGTGAGTCGGGTGGAGACTCAGTGAGTTGGACAGGTCAGGACTCAGAAATCAGTAGACTCGGCGAGTCGAGTCGCGAATGGAGGGAATCGGATCATTTTGAACTCGGTGAGTAGGGTTGACCTGGAAGGTTGACTTTGACCAGGACTTTGACTTTGGACCAGGGTTGACTTGGTTGTCTTTTGGGGGTCAGATAGACTCAGTGTTGCATTGATATTGGTAGTTCGGGGAGCAAGGAGAGCAGGAGTTTCGTGAGTTGTTGGGCAGCAGCTAGTGAGATCATCAGCAAGTTCAACCAGTGCAGGTGAGTTTCCCTTTGTGTGAATGGGTCTAAGGCCACAATGCTGGCCCATGTAGTTATGAGTAGAAGACCCAGGGGTTAGCCCTAGGCACAGTGTTCTAGTATTATTTTCAGGACGAGGTCCAGTAATAGCGGGCGCGTGCCCAAGGAATTGTTTATATGATAGTTTATACTTGTTGTCTATGTGATACATGTATGTGCCTGGTAGGGAGGTGAGTGTGGGCGAGGTCCCGTATCTCACCAATAGCAGAGTGTGGATGGGGTTCCATATCTCATTAGTAGCAGAATAGGGGCGAGGCCCAAATTAGAACAGGAGCGAGAGTGGGCTAAACCCGTACCTCACTACCATTAGGAGCGTGGGCGGGGTCCGATGACTCATCAGTAGCAAGACATGGGCGAGGCCCAGGATAGGCGAGGCCTTAGGACAGAACCAGTTGCATGTGTTAGTTATGTGTTGTGAAATGTTTATGTGTTATTAATTGTTGGTGGGCGAGGCCCTGTGACAGGCGAGGCCTAAGTAAAACAGATCTATATCCGAGCGGGGATCGAAGCCAGGCGGGGCCTGGAGCGGCGGGGTCGTTGTAGCGGGCGAGGCCCGAGGTAGGGGGCATGGCCCAGTATGTGCAGTATGTGATTATGCATGGTATGTGGTAGGGTGGGGAACTCACTAAGCTTCGTGCTTACAGTTTTCAGTTTTGGTTTCAGGAACTTCCGGTAGCGGAGGGAAGAGCTCGGGGTGATCGCATGGCACACACCATAGATTAGACAGCCTGGGAATGTTTACTCTGATAATGAACATGTGTTTTGAAAACTTATACTCATATTATGTTTTGGAATGATGACTTTAATTTAAGTAATGATTTATTAAAAGAAATTTTTTTTGTCTTAAATTTTGGGTCGTTACAAGTTGGTATCAGAGCCTTGGTTTGAGGGATTCGAACATGCTCTCGGGTGTGTCTGAACTCAAACTGAGGAATTGGTAAGGAAGTTTTCAAAATGGAAAGACAGTTTTGTAAAAAGAGTTTTGAGAAAGAAAGTGGTTTTAGAAAAGTAAAAAGAATTCAGAAAGAAAAGAACTTTGAAAAGAGAAAAGAGGTGTGGTGCATGCAATCAACCGAGCTCAAGTAAGTACCCCCAAAATACCCATACAAGTTTATGGTTTGGTTATCAGTTAATAGAACAGCATGCTAGATTAGGACTAAGGATCTAGGGAGGATGCCTTATGTGTCTGTTATATGTGCATTTGATCTGCATGATAGTGCTGAATAGTCAGTAGTAGGATAGCCTGATTAGGTTATGCCTGAGCTTATGAGTTGTGTTGCATGCTAGTTCAGATTCTTGCTATGTGGATATGATTGCTTGAGTATGTTATGGTTAGATTTTCCCTTGTCTGAATGTTGCTTGCTTTGTGCATTGTGGGATTCTAAGTGATGAGAGTTAGCCATTAGGTGGATACGTCACGTCACATGTGATCAGGGTTGAATAATCTCAGAGTGTTGGATTTGGTCCTATTGCGCGACTCTTGTTTGAGTCCAACCGTTGTAGGAACGAGTCTTTTACTTAAAGGATTATCTGAGCCTCGTCACATGTGATGGTATCCAGGTGATGGCTAATTGGCATTGCGAGGAGGCCTTTAGCAGTCGAGGATTGGTTTGAGTTGAGTCAAAGGTTTCCCTAGGGTAAGCCTAGGATGAGGTAGTGCTGGGAGCAGTAGTAGTAGAAAAGGGACCTGGTGGAGTCAAAGAAGTTCCTGAGGAAAG